CTTCTCCTTCCCCTCTCTCCGCAACCCTCCCAGTCCCTCTTCCCAGACTCCAGCCCAAGTCTTGTCGACGACTCGGTTTACAGATTTTTATGGTCGCATGAGTCACAGGGTGGAGGCAATTAGCAGCTGTTGGGAAGTGGGCGGTTGGGTGAGTGTGTGGGTGGGTAAACGAGAGAGAGAGAGAAAGAAAGAAAGAAAGAAAGAAAGAAAGAAAGAAAGGAGGGAGAGAGAGAGAGAGAGAGAAAGGAGAGAGAGAGAGAGAGAGAGAGAGAGAGAGAGAGAGAGAGAGAGAGAGAGAGAGAGAGAGAGAGAGAGAGAAAGGAGGGAGAGAGAGAGAGAGAGAGAAAGGAGGGAGAGAGAGAGAGAGAGAAAGGAGGGAGAGAGAGAGAGAGAGAAAGGAGGGAGAGAGAGAGAGAGAGAAAGGAGGGAGAGAGAGAGAGAGAGAAAGGAGGGAGAGAGAGAGAGAGAGAGAAAGGAGGGAGAGAGAGAGAGAGAGAAAGGAGGGAGAGAGAGAGAGAGAGAAAAGGAGGGAGAGAGAGAGAGAGAGAGAGAGAGAGAGAGAGAGAGAGAGAGAGAGAGAGAGAGAGAGAGAGAGAGAGAGAGAGAGAGAGAGAGATGGCTAGGGAAAGAGAGATGGCGAGGGAAAAGGAAATGGTGAAGGAAAGAGAGAGAGATAGCGGAGTAGAGAGAGAGAGAACGCGCGCAATACAGACAGACAGACAGAGATGGCGGAGGAAGAGTGAAAGGGAGTGGGTCTCAGCGACTGATTAGACTTGGATGGGCGGATGAAAGAAATGAAAAGAGAGACAGAGGGAGAAGGAAAAAGAGTGAGTCAGTCGGGTGTCTGAGGAAGACTGGGAGGCTTCCTAGGGTAGGGACGTGTTGGTGGGTAGGTGTGTGAGTGGGTGGGTTGAGTGAGAGTACTGGAGAGTGGGGGGCGGGATGGAAGGGGCCGTACTTGAGACACTGAACTCCTCTGAGGCTTTTTGGCCAGCTGTCTTGAGGAAGGTTCATCCCGGAAGAGGGGGAGGAAGTAGAGAAATGGAAGAGAGGGAGAAGGAGAGAGCCATTGAGAGGTAGAGAGAGAGGGAGCAGAAGAGAGCGGATGAGAGTGGGATAGTAAGAAGGAAAGAGCATTTGATAGTAAAAGTGAGAGTGAGAAGGAGAGAGCGATTGAGAGAGAGTAGGCAAGCTATAGAGCGAATGTCTGCATGCTGTCGTCAGAGAGGGAGAAAGTGAGCGAGAGAGAAAGAGTGAATGAGTGAGGAAGATAGAGAAAGAAACGGACAGACAGACAGAGGTTAATATCTCTTAAGAAAGTGGGAGGAGGAGTGTGGGTGTGTGCCTGCCACCAGGAAAATCTCGCATTTGTTAGCATGAGGGGCGAGGGGAGGCTTGTGGGCAGAGGGTGTAGGGAGAGGGAGAGATGAGGGGAGATGACGTGTCTTGTTTGTTTGTGCTTGCGAGTCCCTTAAGTCGCACAAGTAAATGTATGTATGCGCGCGCGCGCGCGCGCGAGAGAGAGAGAGAGAGAGAGAGAGAGAGAGAGAGTGTGTGTGTGTGTGTGTGTGTGTGTGTGTGTGTGTGTGTGTGTGTGTGTGTGTGTGTGTGTGTGTGTGTGTGTGTGGATAGGCCCGCGTCGCTATGGCTTGTATGCCTTTATGCATGAATGCGCCTTTGGATGTGAATTGTGTCAATGTGATATTTGTATAAGTCAAATTTCTAGTAGCGGATTAATAGAACGCCTGATCTCTCTTGTATAGCAACAAGTTACGTGACTTCAACAACTGGTTCATATAGACAGTGCTCTTGCACCTTCATTATCAGTTCGAACAAAATCTTTTTTTTATGCTTCAATCTTATTGTTATTGTTTATTTATTTGTTTCTTTTTCTCGCCATTTATAAATTAATTTTCATTAAAGTATTATAAAACCTCCGGGCTTTCCATAGACGTGAAAGCAGCTGGGAATATGTTTTTGCTCGATTGAATCAGCGTGTTGATATTAACCGACTGTACTAACTTAGCTGTTTCCTGGTCTGCGATAAGCACCTGTGGACTTGCCAGAGGGTTGATCCGATAGATTAATGCAGATTAGAGGGGATGGGCGCAGAAAAAAAACGACTTAAAGAAAGTTAAATTAAGACGAAAAGGGATACGGGCAAGAGCGGGTGAGAGATAAGGGTGAAAGTAAGAGAGCAGAGGGAAGTTAGGTTAGACCAAGTAAATAAAATGGTGAAGTTCCAGTAGCATGGTCGGTAGGTTGTTTTTTTTTATCCGTTTAATTTTGTATGGTTACCAGTCAACATCGAGACTCCTTACTTTTGCGGGTTTCAAAATCAAAGCCCTCATGATTTTCTTTTTCTCTTTTTTTTTTTGCAAATTCAAAAATGGACCCGCATAATTTTGCAGCACTCAGCCATGGCGCCCTCATGTTTTTGCTGAATTCAAAATTTGTGTCGAGAATCAACAAAATTTAAGGGACGGCCCCAAAGTCAGGT